CGGATTTCTCAGCTAGACTGACTACGCTGAATTTCCGAGCATACGCCTTAGCCTCATCAATCTCCTTTTGATGATACTCCTTAATCTTAGCATCTCCAGGAAGCAGCTACAATTACAAAATATATATATATATATATATATATATATATATATATATATATATATATATATATATATATATATATATAGTGACTTTATGTATCAAATGACTTTTATCATACGCAATAATACCTAGTCCTGCCCAACATTATATTTTATCCAAAGACACTGTATTAAGTAACTTGCTGCTTTAAATCTTAATTTTATATTCCCAAAGTGTTATATGAACTGTTACTTTCTGATGCAAAGTCATTATAATGTTAATTCTAAATTCATTTGACATTCGTAACATGTCATCATTATTTGCCTGTTAGAGTAACATTGAAATAAATGAAGAAAAAAACCTACTTTGAAGTGGTAAAGGACCATAAAAATCCAGATTTTAGAAATGTTCTATTAGAAAGTACTCACATGACCATACAGCGTTCCCAAATCAATTAGATCATGTCGCAGTAACAAGGCTGCAACTCTGTATAAACTTGTGGGGGTTTCTTCATCCTATTTAGACAGAAAACTAAGATTTGTATTACAGTGTATGTCCCATTTTGAATATAAAATTTACTAAGCTTTAAGTCATTATTGGTAGGGAAAATTTTTCCCTCTAGAATTTAACAACAGACAAAACAGCTATAGATTTTTAAGAAGTCAGAATAGAAACACAATCTTGTGCTAACCTTGTAGAAGTGGAATTTGAAGCCGAGGATGTGACAGAGTGTCTTTCTCTCCGTGACGTACTCCTTAAACAGTGGGACATAAAAGTTCTCTAGGTGTGGTCGACACTCAAACGACTCCAGTAAAATATCCAACACTCGGTTAGGGTCCAAGTCAAAACAACCTTAATAAATATACAACAACATTTCATGATAGATAGATGCAATCTCATGGAACATTACACAGCACATCAAAATTAAATTCAGTTTTGTGACAAGGTAATGATATGGGAGAATATGTTCATGAAACGTTTCTGATAAAATCTACATCAATTGATATGTCATTATGTAGCTATTCTAGCATTATCAATTTGAAAAACAGAAGAAAAAACTCAGTTTAATTTGAAACTCCAAGATTAATCAGGTTCATTTTGTTTTCTAAATGTGTGTATGACATTGAGTTACAGTTACTATACATGATCTAGCAGACCTACCTGTATGAGAAATGTTGAGATTTTCTACACTTGGATTCTATAAGCCTATGACGTTTAGAAACATGACCTACCTATAAGAGACTTGAGATTTTCTACACTCTGTTCCACAGTTATCTTCTCTGTAATGTCCTGATTCAGCTCTGTGATCAGTTTGGCATATCCCTCACTTTCTTCTCTCAACAAATTAAACTTCTTCTGTTTGTAACTGAAAAACAATTTTGTAATGGTGCTTAAAAATATTACAGCCTTCAAGAAAAAATCTTTCTTAAAATTAACACTAAAAAAATAAAACTGTTCGTGGACAATGGAACTCAAAACAAAACAGTCCATGGTTCAACATTAAAAGCTGTATGTTTATAATCATTCTGATCTCAAACTAATGGCATCGAAGTTTTGTACTCGTTTAGCTTTATACTCACTAGAGTTTTGTTTTTGTTTTGACGTATTTCTGATTAAACTGAGTCTTTGACGACAAAAGACCCAGTGATTCCAAAGTCTCCTGATCTAGTCTCTCCTTCAGAATAGAAGCAGCCACCATCTTCTGTAACAATTCACAATAAAAAACAATTATTAATTCCCAAATATATTTTCATGTTTCTGTAGCTACCCAGCAGTTGAATTTTATTGAAAATAACTCAAGAATTATCCTTTACTGCATTTTATGGTTTCACTGATCATTTTTGGCATCAACACACTGAGATTCCATTTAAATGTATCTATGTTGGCAATATTGATAAAAAAGCAAAACAGATAGTTATCTTATACAAACTTCATCAAGACTTACAGCAATAAAGTATTTACAGAAATTAAGAATGTTGTACATTTTTACAAAAAAGATGCTTTACGTACCTCACATCCCGTGACAAGGGAGATAAACTTGTCCCTCTGTGCATTATCATCAGAAATCGACAGCTCAACATCTAAACAAACAAAACTGATCAGTTAATTTCCTCTCAAAGGAGCTGGGAATCTGACTATCACTGAATGATGAAGTATCATCTTTAAATTATTGTTTATACAAACCTAGGATAGCAAACACATCTGCAATGGCAACAGGGAGTTCTTTAACACTTTCCTGTTAAACAAAATTAAAGTATTTTTAAACGTAGATTCAACATTTTCCCATTTAATTTTTTAACAAAGTTTTTAAATTTCCATTTTCTAATTTCAAAACAAGAAATTTTCCTTGAGAAATTAAGGACTATGGATAACAGAGTGAATCATTTCAAAACTTTTCCCTATGATTTAAGATAAGAATTAGAAGGAATGTAACCAGGCTAAATGATCCTCCTACTTACACAGAGCTCTTCCAGGAGGTTAATGGCGGATTCTACCTTCATCTGGCCACCTATAACTCTCCAGGACAACTGATACAATGCATTCTTAAGGGCCTTGGCTTCCTTGGTCAAGAAATTCTTCTCTTTTAAAGTGCTCCACTGCTTTATACTACAATAAAAGGTAGTTTAACTTTTAAGACATCAGCTGGACATTTTAATGATTTTTGTGTAACTGTTAAAAGCCCTAAAAATAATTCTGAACATACTAAATAAAATGAAGAACAAGCATTTTTTCAAAAACTTAGAATTGAGCATGCAAAAGGGATTGGGTACATCCGTATGGTAGCTCACTAGAGGAGCACCTGCTAATTAAGTGGGAGGATCCAGCTTTTTTTTTTAGTCCCATTCCTTGTCTGGCCACCCTTTTTCCCTGTCTATTATATATCATACATATATTTGATGCCTCGCCCAGCAACGCCAACTAGTGATTTACTGGTCTCTGTATGGTTTAAAGTTTGGAAATTAAAGAAATGGGAGGGTGGATATTTTCTCCATTGGCAGCTCTAAGAGAGGTTTTGGTGATATCAATTTATTTAGTTTTATTTAATTGGTTGACAATTTAACAGTTTGAATTACATATAATTATTTGATGCCTAAATGTTGAAGACTGACCAGCAAATCACACAACACACATCATCTGACAATGATTTACAAAGTCTCTGTATTTTCTTTACATTGTTTATAAGTTTGGAAATAAAGAACATGTGCTCTGCTGTTAGCAATGCCAGCGGTATAGGTGGCGCTGCGCGCGCACAGTTTTGTAAACACAATTGGCATGTTATATTACACTAAAAGTTTTGAGGTTTTGGTTATGATTGATCAACATTTTATGTGTTCTTTTTTTCTTTTTGTTTTGATTGGTTGACAATTTTACAGTTTGCAATTACTGAATACTCTGATTAAGTAAAAACAGATTGGAATGTAACTGCAATGTATTTTTGCTGTATTACACATAAATGTTTTTAATATTATCTGAAAAAAATCACGACTGTCAGTGCTAGGAAAGACACGTCAGTACCACTATAGAAATACAATATGTACACTATGCAAATAATACGGCAATCAATGAAAATAATCTTTTTGAAAACTTTAAAAATTAGTTGATCATCTAAAAATTCTACAGAGTGATGTGAGTATGTGCACATTGTCATAAGTAATTCTATGCATGTACATTTATAAAAATAAATAAAAATCAATGTACAAGCTTGTTACAAAAAATTTTGAAATACTTTAAAAGATGGCACTTAGTGACTTACAAACTATTATGAATTCACACCTTTGAAACATAGTGGATATAAAATGCATTTGATCATTTTGTTTCAATTTACAGCATATTTAAATAACAACACCATTTATTTTATAAACTTAATGACTCTTGTCATTTGATGTTTGAATTGTTAGCTATAACCTAGCATGCTAAACAGTTTTTAACTTGGAGAAAAAGCTTAAAATTTCGAAGTTGGTATGTTGATTTTCAACGTTTACCAACTTCTATAATTAATAAACATTTTTTTCTGTTCTTGTTAACACAACATTTATTGCTTTAAAAATAATTTTATTACCTTTTAATTGACATAAATCAACTCATACACTTGTGCTCTGCTGCATGCAAAGTAAAATGTAAATAAGGCTATACATTAATCTGACATGTTGAAATATAACACAAAACTTATGTTTACCTTTTTTTTCTTTTTGTTTTACACTTTATAAATTGTCGTACCTGTCCCATAATTGATGGGGAATTTTTATTTTTTGTCTCAATTATTAGTTATACCTAATTTAAAATGTAGAAATTTGATTTTTTTAGTGGTCAACTGGATTTAAATTTATCTGTTTTTCATATTTCCCCTCGTACAAAAATTTTTAAAGTAGGAAAAAGCACCCACAACAAAAAAAAAATTAAAATTTTCATTTTAAAATTTTTGAAAAATGCAAATGTACATATTTCGTTAAACCAATTTACTATTTAAAGACAAAGCTCCTCATCGGCACGTTGCAGCCAGCAGGTAGAAAGAAAAACAAGAAGCGCAAAACATGCAAGTCTGTTTCAACATGATACACAACTGAATAAGAATTTGAGACTCTATATTTCAAAGTAAAATCAATTCTATATGTATTTAAAATGACAAAAATTGCGTACAATTCTGATTTGCCTGACTTTTCCCAAAGTTTTAGACCGTCGGTTCCTCTGCTCATCGCCGCCATTTTTTTCTCTTTGCCGAATAATGACGTCACAAAGTCTCAAAGCTATGAAAAGTTATTTTATATGTAAAGTGCAAAAACGAAAATCATTTATATTTATACAACTAATAGGCTAGTTGAATTCTGTTGATGGTTTAACAAAATATTCTTGTCTATTTATCGCAAAACAATAATATTATCGGGTACATTGTTTCTAGATTAAACAAGATGGCTGCGCCCATTAAATGAGAGTGACAGTGGCTGAACGACACAAGAGAGAGATTGGAAGTTCATGATAGTAGATCTAAAGTCTCTGCATAGACAAAAATGGCTCAGAGAAAAGAATAAGATCTCTCTGTTCACAAGGAAGAGAAATTTTACTTAGTGAAATATTATGGATAGCAAAACAGTGCCCAAATTATCCAAAACAGAGAGAAAACTTCAGAAAAAAGTTGCAAAATCACAGAAAACTCTGTTAAAACATGATGGTATTGGAACATCAGAAAAAACAACTAAGGTTCATAAATTTATCAAACCAAATATTTGCGTTACTCACAGAACACTTCATATCTTTATCATAAATGGAGTCAATTATGTGCCTCTTTTTGTATGTATAATTAACTTATTGGTTTCGTTAAATTTTATTATAAATACAGATTTTGTGTGTCAATAATGCTGGATTGGATGTAGGTGTGTCATATGATGAAGTGGCTGCTCTCTTTGGTCGAGTTGGTCCTGTGGAGGAAATTATAATGCTCCCCAAGAAACCTTATGCCTTTGTGTGTTATAAGGATGTAGATTCTGCAGAGAGAGCCATGACTGAGCTCAGTGGTACAGTGCTTCTAGAGACCCCCAGCAGAAAACAATCAGCAACACTGTACATCTTCTTTGTGTCCAAAGGTAATAAAATTATACATGACAGGCCAAATTTTAATAATAATTAGGAATTGAATTTTACCTAGGCCAACTTAAGAGTACATTTCTCAAATGTTTGTGCTACATGTATTATGCAACTGCATAAACTGAAAATACAGGAATTAATTTGGTACCTTTTGAGGTTATATTGCAAATATTTCCAACTGCAGAAAATACCTCTATGCAGTACACGTACACATAAGAATTTAAATCATTTGATTTCTTTATTTCTAAGTTCCTCTGGGCCTGTCCCCCTCCACCGAGACTCCTCCTGGTCTGATTGTCCTGGAGAACTTTATATCAGAGGAGGAGGAGACACAGTTTCTGTCAGCAGTCAACTGGGGGGCACCAACACAGGGTCTGTTTTACCATTACATTATTGGTTTATAATCATTCTATGCACCTGTAAATAAATCATCATCAATAAAATGTTAACTAGGCAAAGTTCCATTTTTTACATTACCAATGCTCTATTTTTGTAGCATTTGTCAGGGGGGTATAACCCATGTAAATATTGATAAGTAGAATCCAGTCTCTCACTACAGAAAATCGAGAACCCATTCATCTCTTGTAGAATCAGGTATTAAATTTGTATACATGTATTTTATTTTTCATTCTAGAGAGAAGTGAATTGAAACACAGACAAGTGAAGCACTTTGGATTCGAGTTTAAATATGGAATTAATGACGTAGACCCAGACGATCCTCTCCCACAGGGAATTCCCGATGTCTGCTCTGCCTTCCTACAGAGGGCACTGGCTACAGGTCATGTGGCCTACCTCCCTGATCAACTGACAGTCAACAAGTACCAGGCTGGTCAAGGTAGGTGCATTGTATTGTCCCAGAATGTTGATAGTTGTTATGGAGATACATGTAAATGAAAAGCTGGTACCTACTCTGAATCAATGTCTGGCTATGTTTCTTTGTTTCTTCAGGAATTCCAGCTCATATTGACACTGGGCCTGCTTTTGAGGACGGCATCATGTCCCTCAGTCTAGGGTCTCAGGTACGTGTCACCTTGAGGCATTGATCTCATACGAAATGAAAGTAAATAGATTCTAATTTAATCAAGTAAAATAAACATAATACAGGTGTTGATGGACTTCCATCACCCAGACGGACGTCAGCTGTCAGTGTTACTTCCTCCCAGAAGTCTCCTTGTCATGACGGGAGAATCGCGCTACGTCTGGTCACATGGTATCACCCCGCGGAAGTCAGACATTATCTCCTCGCCAGAGGGAAACCTGAGTGTGGTACCCAGGGGGACCAGGACATCATTCACGTTCAGGAAAATTATCCACCCCACAGAGAGGAAATGGAGAGAGGCAGCAGAAAGGTATAGGGCAGTTATTCCTTAACCACAAGTGTTCTAACTATAATTTCTACAGCGCCGTATATAAGTGTATTTTACATCTAATGGAAATGTACATTACAACTAATGAGCATATGCAGTTCACTAAGTGGTTCCTTGAAAAGCTTTTGTAATTGCAATTGAAAGAAAAGGCAAGGCAAAAAAAAATATATGTTTACTTTTTCATCTATTGGAGTAGATAAATTCCAGAAAGACCTTGGTCTTCAGAAACCGTTTGAGTGCCCGCAACAAATTCAAAATGCCTAGTCTAGAGTAGATTTCTCAGAATTTGACACATCCATTCGGGTGATTAAAATATTTTTTACTGGATAACAGTGAATTCTGTTACTGTTGCTATATATATATTATCATAACAATTGCTGTATTGCATGCATGTAATTAATATATTTTTTTTTAACTTAATTACAATGAATTCTGTTACATGTATTGTTCTTTTGCTGTAGTTCAGAACAAAGACCCACTCTCCCTGTCTCCTCTTCTGAGGCAGAAAAACTGGAGACTCAGCATGTCCATCAGGTAAAAACAGAGGGGTGGATCCATATATATACATATATGTTTAGGTGTACAAGATAGCCATGTTTAATCAATCTCATGCATGTAAAGCAGATTTAAAAAGATTGCTCAATACTATCATGTTTATATTAAAGTTTATGAGGAGATTCCCATGTTTTACATGTCTCTATATTTAGGTATATTAGGGGAATCCTATGTTTTACTGTATCTATATTTAGGTATATGAGGGGATTCCTATGTTTTATTGTATGTATATTTAGGTATATGGGGGGAATCCTATGTTTACTGTATCTATATTTAGGTATATGAGGAAATTCCTATGTTTTACTGTATCTATATTTAGGTACTGCGAAATCACAAATTTTTGTGGGGGTTTAATTTTCGTTGTTTTCGAGCTGTGAAGAGACCCATGCATTCATGTCCCCCACGAAATGTAAAATGTGACACACATAACTACTCAATAATTCTACATCCACGAAATCAAATCCTAACAAACCAAGATTTTTTCCTCAAACCACGAAAATTTGACCCCACGAAAATATGTGATTTTACAGTATATGAGGGGATTCCTATGTTTTACTGTATCTACATGTATATTTAGGTATATGAGGGGATTCCTATGTTTTACTGTATCTATATTTAGGTATATGAGGAGATTCCTATGTTTTACTGTATCTATATTTATTTTTAATAAGAGATTCCTGTATTTCATGTTTTGTATTTAGGTATATGAGGAGATTCCTATGTTTCTGTATTTAGGTATATGAGGAGATTCCTATGTTTCTATATTTAGGTATATGAGGAGATTCCTATGTTTCTATATTTAGGTATATGAGGAGATTGCCTCTCACTTCAGTGGTACTAGACACTCCCCGTGGCCCAGAATCTCAGAGTTCCTCCAGAAACAGCCCCCTGGGTCATTAATGGCTGACATTGGTTGTGGGAATGGGAAATACCTCGGAATCAACAAAACCATCTACCAGGTGATGACAAATATCAGTTATGACAGTCAAACATGAATGGTAAATGACAGATAAGTTGATAAACAATTGATGTCAGGGCTACATTTTATGCAATTGCTTCAAGAAAGTACACCTACCTATATTTATTCAAGAATCATTTTCAATAGGTTCATTTGCATCATCAGTATCTGTCACTGTGGCTCTTAAGATAACTAAAGCAAAGATTAGCATAGGTTACTTACCCAAGTTTTTCCTGCTATCTTTCTTAGCTGTGTCATTATTTAAAACAAGTAGAGTTTCAATCTTTCCTTTGTTACAGATAGGATCAGACAGAAGTACTAAGCTGACAGAGATCTGTAGACAGAGAGGATTCCAGGCCTTTGTGGGGGACGTTCTGTCCATTCCTCTACGATCCCAGGCTTTTGATGTCTGTATATGTATAGCTGTCATTCATCATCTCTCAACAGAGGTATGCAGGGAACTTTTAAGTCATTTATGATGTAAACATCTTTGCAAGCCAAAGAATAGAAGTGATCCAAAATGATATTTTATTTATATAAATAACAAGGATGAAAGAAAAAAAGTTTTCAATCAATTGAAAGTTATTTATCATTTATGTATTTTATTTCCGGCATTAAATATTGTACGTGTACAAAATTTGGCGCATTCAAAATTTAGCGTAATCACTGGGTATGGAGTTGTTGATGTAATCATAAATTAGCACTACACATGCTGGTTAATAATTCCTTAGAGGTATTCATGAATGAGCGCATCGTAGTCTAGTGTGTAAAAGCTGCTAAAATATGAAGCCCGCTTTTTAAAGTACACGTACAGTATACGGTAAATTCTTAGAATGGTATTTTATTAATTCAGTCCTCTTGCAATATACCGTAAATAGTTTATTAACTTATTCAAGAAATGAATTTTTCTTAGGAGAGGAGAGTACAAGCTATAACGGAGCTGATCAGGATCCTGAGGTCAGGAGGTCAAGCCTTGATTTATGTTTGGGCAATGGAACAAGAGATCAACAAAGTCAAATCAAAGTACCTCAAGGAGAAAGACTTCAATGTAGAGGATAATGACGATAAACAGACTAACCTTGATGGCTGTGATAAATGTGAACAGTCAAAGAAAGATAACTCTGATATTCCCAGGGAAATGAAACAGGAACAGCCTTGTGGTAATCAGAAAGAACTTGTTATACACAAAAATCGGACTAACTTCCAGCAGCAGGACTTGTTAGTTCCATGGCAGCTGAAGGGGAAGTCCTCAGTGGAGAAGACAGACAATGTGTTCCACAGATTCTATCACGTGTTTCAGAAGGGAGAGCTGGAGGGACTGTGTGGTCAGGTGACTGGGTGTCGTGTAGTGGACAGTTATTACGACCAGGGAAACTGGGCAGTCATACTACAGAAGTCATAGGGATATCCTAACTTATTAATAAAGTATAGAAAATACTTCTTTGATGTTGTTTTTTAATTAGTATGGGGTTAACATAATTACTCATAGGTAGAATTTGTATAAATTAAGGGGATAGGAAGAATTTGGGGAAAAACATTTTTGGAAGCTTAGGAAATCTTTTTACAGATTTATCGTAATGTTGATCCACTCTTTTAGAACATATCATAGGCTAAATATACAACAACAAAAAATACATGTACCTGTTTTATGTTGCATTTCTTTCAATAATTACATTTAAATATCTGTTTGAAATTCACCCATACTGGGGGAATGATCTACATGTACAAATAGCACACTCTATTGTCCTGGTATCTGATTAATCAAAAGAAACACAACAATGACCAAAGAGGCAAAGATTAATACCATATATGAACGTCTTTGATATATATTTTTTTCTTAGAAATGGTTTGCATTGAAATACTGTGTATCTCCAAATTCTTTTCAAAGGATTAACACTATCATTTTGGTCTTAGTCTTAAATCCTGTTTTATATATGTCCCTTAAATACTAAGACTTTAAAGTGTGTATCTTTTGTTTTATACGTTTCAAATAACAAACCAGGGTTCTTCATGAATTAGTGCCACAGGAAAGTTTCTCTGTATATATATCACAAACAAATCCTTAAATCCTAAGTGCCTTGTTAAAGAACAGCCAGAGTTACACAGGGCTGACTGGAAGACGGGGACGGGGCAGTTATTGAAAGACATATGAAAATCAGTATAAAGGAAAACTTGGGCATATGTCCTTGTTTACCTTAACATTTGGTTTTACCTGTCATCATGACAAATTGTCATTGATATCTGAAAAGGTTGTTTACATGCTCTGGCCCCAATACCATAAATTGAGAACAGACTTATTTATAATAACATAACAAAGTTTTTAACATATGTTTAAATTGGAATATTATACAGACCTGCAAATTTTTGATAATGTAAATGTCACAAATGACAATTATTCAAAATCAAACTTTTCACTATATTCTGTACTCAGTTTATGGTTTCAAGGCATGAGCAAACTCTTCACTTGTAAAGTTATGAAGGTGAATGAATTCGTATCTTAGATTTTATTTGGTAATAATGATCTGTTATCATGGAAATTAACAATTTCAGAGTACAGTATATTTAGCATCTTTAAATAATAAACATTTAAAAAAACAAGCTCATAAATACATGTAGAAATGAATATATGTCAACACAATGTAAAATTCATAAATATTGTAAAAATTGTTTCTTTAAAAACAAGCAAAATGCCTTTGATACATGACTGATGTAGTGCAATTTTCTTTTAAATTTTTTTTTTTACCTCAAACCTAGAGGTTTCTACAATTAAAGTAATTTTCATTTAAAAAGAATACAACCATGTTTGTTAAATTTTCTTTTAAAAAGCAATTGAAAGTTAAAAAGATCATATAATTTTAGTGAATCACAATAACACAATACATTTTGAATTTTATCAAATGATAACAATTTCATTATTTAAGATGTATATAGAGGTATCTGGTTTTTAATAATATAGAATGAAATCTTCAACCAATACATCAGCTCCCATTTTAACAAACATAATTACCAAGGTAAGCTTCTGTTTTATACAATATTGAAAATATTTGCACATACAAGAGAAATTTTTCTTGATGTAAATGTAACCGTTAATCTATAGATTAACTTTGATTGTACTGGCTGTAATTGGATGGGAGGTGCATGTATTGGTGCAGAAGCGGTTCTGACATGCCTGGTCGGACGATGTTTGGGTAAACAGCATTTAACTGGTTCCCATTCCCAGGTTCATTAGATTTAGACTGTACAGAGTTGTAATTTGTGGGTGGGAGACCAGTAAAGTAATTATCATACATTGAACACTGCCCTTGCCCCTGGTTGGCAGGAGATGCATTATTATTAAGGCTGTGTATGTCAGTAAGAGTCCGAGAATTTGGCAGAATATTCATGTGTCCCTGAGGAATCGTGTCGGGTGTCTCAGATACTGCAGATTCTACCAGGGCACTGTTCTGTTGCTGTATACCAGAGGTAGCCATGGAACTCAGAGCCAGCGCAGCATGAGCTCTCGAGTCAACATTGGAACCCACTTGGCTTTGTAGGTCCTTTGAACTGTTGTGACCGTCTGCATCCATATGTTTTGGGGGTTTTCTTTTCTTCAGTTGTGGTTGTAGTTCCCCATTCAGGATCTGAACAAAATGATCTGACTGTCTGGGAGTGTTAGTTTGAATGAAAGACCTCCAGTCCTTAGAATTGATTTTGTGTACCAGGATCATGTGTCGCCGTATGATAGATGCGTCGTTAAAATTCTTGGAACAAATGCTGCAAGAAAAGGGTTTGTCCCCTGAGTGAACTCGTTCATGCCGCAGTAAAGCCTGTTTCTGAGTAAAACCTTTCCCACACACCTTGCACAGATGGTCCTTTGTTTCTTTGTGAATCTTCAAGTGAATACCAAGAGATGAAGGTTGCTTAAATTGTTTACCACAAACTTCACATTTGAATTGTTTGCCCTCTTCATGCATGTACTTGTGCTCTCTCAGAGATTTCTCATAAGGGAAGGACATACCACAGACCTCACACACAAAAGGACGCATTCCAAGATGGACGTTAGCATGGATGACGTACGACTGTTTCTGTGTAAAACTTTTTCCACAAGTGGGGCATATAAATGACTTCTTTTGCCCCATGTGTTCTGACTTTACGTGATACCTAAGGACGTACTTTGTGCTGAATTTTTTACCACACGTACTGCACTCATATTCTGGTTTAACAAAGTTCTCTTCATGAGTCTTCAGGTGTGCATTAAAGGTTCTAGAACTCTTATACATTTTCCCACATTTATCACAAGCAAACTGAGTACTATGGTGCTTAAGATGCCTTTTTAAGTCCCTATACAGGGAAAACAGAGTGTCACAGAATTTACATTTAAGGTTCTTCACGGTATGCATCCTTGCATAGTGCTCAATCATGTTGTGTTTCAGTTTGGCCACAAACTTGCAGTCTTTAATTTGACAAGGAATATTTTTGGCTTTGGGATCAATGTGTTTAAGGCCCTGTTCTTCCACTTTTTTGTAAAGCATATTGTCGCTCTTTGATACATCAACATCTCCAACACTACTGTATTCTTCCAGTTTAAGAACATTGTCAAGGTGCATTTTCACTTTATGTTGTTCTAAATCATGGGAATGTGTACCAACAAAGTCACACAAATTACATTTGTTTTTCTTGTTTAGGGTTGATTTTGCAGTTTTAGGGGGAGATTTGTTTCTATCATTCTCAGAATCCTCTTCTGACATAACAAAATCAGAATCCTCCTCCACCCTGTCACCAGATACATCATCTGAGTCTGACTCCAGTTCTTTTGATTCTTTAACCACATCAGCTTCACTGTTCATGTCCTCTCTATCACTTTCTGGCTTCTCTGACTCGTTATTATCATCACTGTTGTTGGTCTGCTTTTCTGAACCAATACAACCCTCATCAGTTGTTTTCATTTGTTTTTTACCTCTTCTTGTTTTCTTAGATCTTTTCTCCCCCATTTTCAAATCACTTCTTTCTTTATTGCAGTTGTGCACCTTCCTTTCTTTCTTTGTCTTCTTCAGCTTATTTGAATCTTCTTTCACAGACTCTGTGGTTCTTTTAACACAATTATTTATATTCTTAAGTACTTCAATCTCTCTAGTTACTTGACTCTCAGAAATTTGTTTTGATTTTGCCAGTTCACTATCACATTTGTTCAGTGTTGTCAGTTTGTCGGTGCTTGTTTCTGAGTCAGCTGCTGCAGGTTGCCATTCAAGTCTTGCATTGCGGGACTTGACTACACCATCAGACAGAGTATACTCCCCTGAATTATCATCGATATTGATCGAGAGCACTAAAGGATCTGGAACTTTAATTTTTCTTTTCAATCCAACACGACTGCTATTTTTGTCTTTGTTCAAAATCTCAAAGTCCGCTTGTAAACCTGTGAAGTCCTCGACTGGTATGTGTAACCTCTCATTTTCATTTCTCAATTCCGAGGAACCACTTACACCTGGGTTCTTTAAACTAACTTCATTTTCTATCATCAGATTGTCTACTTTGATCTGAAACTCTGAGTCTAGGAGCCTTGACAAGGCTACATAAGCACTAAACACGGACTGGATGCTGCCGACAAGTTCCCACACAGAACCCGTCTGCATTAACATCAAACCAGTTTTTGACACAAGTTCCTGTATAACAGCGCTCTCACTCAAACATCCATCAGTGTTTTGACAAAGTAAATCTTGCACATCTTGAGTTAATTTGGCAGCAACACTTGTAAATAACTGCATTTTTCTTCTTCTTGACAATAGTTTACATTTTTTTATACCGGAAGTGAAAGGTACGAAGCAGTTTGTACGTGAAAATATTCGTTCATATTCCTAATACTTTGAGATAACTTGTAATTGTATAGAGGATTTAACTAGACATAGTTAAGCAGACAAATATATATGCGAATCTCGGTATGAAATTTAACTTTATATATAGACAGGCACAGATCTTGGTTTATTGATATGTATGTATACTTTTTTGATATGTAAATTTTTCAAAAAAGTACGTATTTATATAATCCAAGACAAATGTAAAGAATGGTGTTTGGAAATCAATGTTAACGAAACAGAAATAATTATTTTCAACAGTAGTGGGCATTTAATAAAAGAAAAGTTTTCAATTAATGATTTTAATATGTGTAAAAACGTACAAATACTAAGGTAAAATACATGTACTCTCAAATGCTGCTTCTTTCAAAAAGCCAAGTTCTCATTTAAACATGTTAAAGACTTCACTTATATTAAAATATACAAAGATATAAAATCAACAGATCCACCCATTAAAACTTTACTCCATTTATTTGATCAATTAGGATGACTTTTAACGAGGCTGTTGATATTCTTGTTTCATCAACTTGTTTGTCAATAATTTACCTTGTTTTAGAATTGTTCATACGTAGAGCATGCTTTTGCGTATCGAATCAATTGAGATATATATACTCCGTATGCGTATGAAGATATATTGCTGCATATTAAGTAGGGGAAGTTGACGATTGTAAAGTTAAAAGTCATTGCGTTAATTTATCATAGAACCTGGTTGTTAGATTATCATTAACGTCTTTTTCAAGTATAATATCCAAATATGAAACAGGTGTTTCAGACTCTGTGGGATCTTTAATCTCAAGCTCACCAGGATGTATCGTACCGACAAAAGAATGGAAATTATCATTAATTGTAAATTGAAAACACGTCGTCGATATATATTCACGCAGTACCTAAATGTCGACTTGAAGGTCATATCAATTGTTTTCTTCTTATCACATATAAGATTTTGCACAATGATTCATATATGAATAAATAGGTCTGCCAATAACGGGGAGCAATTGGTACCCATGGGAATTCCAATAGATTGTTGGAAGACCTGGTCTCCAAATACCACATAGATAATTATCAATCAGAAACTCAAGCATCTTTTTTATGTCAACTTCAGAGTACTTTTGTGTACAATCAGAATGCTTTTTATAAACAAAATAATTTTGCATTTGACCAATGACACATGTAGGTAATTAATTTACGAGTTCCATTTTTACTGATAAAAAAAAAACAGGTGTCAATGATATCAAAAAGCCTGGACTTTTATTTATCGTGGTGAATGGTTGTGTATAAAATTGAAAAGTGTTAAGTTTTAAGCTTTTGATTTTGGTAAAATCTTGTGATTTCAAATTGTCCAAAATTTCCTTTTTAAGTATCCACATCTGATTCACACCACTACTTGAATGTATTGTTGCACAGCACTTTCGAACTTCCTCCTTCACTACAGTTAATATCTTAGTGAGGAGTAAAGAAAGAGGAATTGGTTTAGCATTTACTGGAACCCGCTATGCATCTTTGTTTGTTAATTAGGATTTTTATGAACTTTCGGAATCCAATATAAATCTATATGGTATATGTTGAAATTCATTTTGGTTCTTTGGGATCTTAAAAAATTGTATTTAGCTGAAAATTGAAGAACATGTTGTTTATAGTTACGTTGTTTTGGAGGTCCATGTTTGCTCTGTTCCTGTTTTGTATTGTTTAGGGGATTTTTGAATATTCTCCATTATCTCCATATATTTCATTTAAGAAGCCAAATTTTATGTGAATATTCACTGTGTTCCAAATGCAATATCACACCTATAGCATGTATAGTTGGGGGAAAAAGTCATGCAGAAATATCACTAATTTCGATATATATGTAAAACTGTGTGAATTCCTTATTTTGATGAAATTAAAAAAATAATGAAACAATAATCCTTTAAATTTTAAGATGTTTAAGTTATTCAATGTACAATGTTAAAATTAATGTACATTGTACTTAGCATGCTGTTCAGAAGCTCGCAGATGTGTCAATATTATTTGTGAAGTACTGAAACATACGTAGAATACATTACGTGTTGTCAATATAATACACCTTACGTCTAAAGTGCATGCTTTTAATTTTCATATAAAACCAACATTCCTTGAAGGTTAAGGTCATTACAGTGTTTTGATGCATGAAATTGAAAGAAGAGTCACTGTAATACTATTCCTTTAAAAAGTCTAAAATATGCAATTTTTTTCCCACTTAAATACATTAATGAAAGTGGCTTCCAGCAAGATGAACAGGTAAGAAACAATAAATTTCATTGTACTTGCAACTTAAAAATTTGAATAAATAAACTATAAATTAAAAATTTAAGAATAAAACAAGATTACATCAAATTATTTTACTATTTTTATCAGTGAGGGAGTGATACCTTACTTGTCCGAGCCTGTGTTTGTGGGACTGTGTGAAATAATAGGAACTCCATATGAAATAGCTATGAGGAGGGATATGCTCGAAGTCTTGATCATCGTACAGAATCCTTCCAAAGTTAATTCGCAGAATATTATTTTGAGTGGGAGCTATCACGAAGGCTTCAGACTGAAGAAATCTGATGTGGACTTCATGACATGGCCAAATAACTATCGAGTGATCTGGGACTTAAGGACAGATGATACAAACAAATTTTTTCTTTGAAAAAGATTTAATATCATGTCATAGATTTAGAAATGTGGATGGTTCTTAAAATTTTTTCTCCTAAGAACTGGAATATGAAAAAGACTTGGAAAATATTAGTAATATTTCAATGAAAAAACAAATATAGACAAATCACATTCAGTAAAGGTTTACAGGTGAAAACAAATTTCAGAATTTGTTAACATGGTGCAAAAAGTGTAATATAAACTTAAGAAAAATATACCAAGCCAGGTGAATTTTATTAGGAAAAGCTAAATGGTAAAAATCAGCCTATGTGATATTACTATTTTTTGTCATTTTGATCTTCCTCTTAAAATTCACCTGGCTTGGTATATTTTTCTAAAGTCTATATTACACTTTTAGCACCAAGATAACATATTCTGAAATTTGTTTTCTCCTGTAAACCTTTACTGAATGTGATTTCTCTATATATGTTTTTAGTATTGAAATATTACGAATATTTTCCAAGTCTATTCCATTTTCCAGTTCTTCAGACAAAAAATTCTAAGAACCATCCACTTTTCTAAACTTGTGACATGATATTAAATCTTTTTCAAAGAAAAAATTTGTTTGTATCTGGGACTTAACTCAGAACCATCTCTATAATGTAAGTACGTGTTCAGCAATTTTTGCGGACAGTTCTGATAGTCCACCTGGATTTACCCTACTCTGGCTACCAACATCTTCAGCAACCATGTGTGTTCTGGCATCGTGTTTCAGAATGAATGAGAGATTTTATATATCAAGTTCTCTATACAGAGAGAACAAGGGTTCCTTAGAAATCCCCAATTCTACTAAACATAGATCATGCAGTTTTATAATTATGGAAGGAACTGAATTTGATTGTGCCGCTTGCTTTTTTAGTGAAATTTGGCCACCGTCTGCTTCCTCATGGATAATCAGGTGTCACTCGTGGCCAAATCTTAGCATTGTTAATGATATTGTCAAAAAGGGTTGTCATTTTGTAGCAATCGGTCACGAACTCGGAAATCATGTAGACAATGAATGGAGGATATCTTTCTCTTTGGCAGAACAGCAACTTGTGTTCACTTGTGAATCACTGTCAATTTTTAACTTATGGCTTACTAAAAATCTTCTTAAATGAGGTCATTAACCACGGATACAGCGAGGAAGGTAAATTACTGTGTTCCTACCACATAAAGACAGCTCTCTTCTGGGTGATTCAACAAAACAGAACACAGCATTGGTGTCCACAAAATCTTCTGGAGTGTTTCTGGGTTTGCTTTAAACTCATCCTTAAATGGGTGTATGAAGGAGTGTGTCCTAACTTTTTCATTCCAGAAAATAACATGTTCCTGACTAAAATCTATGGTAATTCACAAGCAAATTTATTTCGTAGACTGATAACATTATACGAAAAAGGAATGGCATGCTTGTTACAGAGTACTTCAGTTAGGTCCTATATCAGTTAGGTCCTATATCATAAAAGTAAGACCTGACCCAAGACTCTCTATCAGAATAAATACAAACCTTTTGATCTCCGAGGCTGAGTTTGATGTAGAGCTATTCCTAGAAATGCAGAAACATGCAACTCTTTCGGTACGGGATTTATATAATTTTGAAAGAGTCTCGCACCAGATAGAACAAACCATCATTTGTTTCCCCTTGACAAAATATCAAGTTGCCATGTTACAGAACTATACATCAGTAATATTTCAAGGAACTGCGTTTCTTATGTACGGTGAGCTGTCTGAAAATTACAAAAACAAATCGATATACATATATGAGAGAATGTCCCGTTACATGTTGTATTTAGCAACCAAGTTTGGTTGTGTTTCTGATATGTTATATGTTGCAATGTATTATTACCAGGAAGGCCGATACCAAAAAGCTCTCTCTGTTATAAAGAAAACAAAATGTAAGTTGACACAACCATATGTGATATATATGCATGGAGTGGACGCGGAGATGTATTCTGAAGTGTTTTGGGGACGGCCGTTGTCTACAAAAATGAGGAATGGGTTGCTAAAAACATCACAATTGGCAATAAAATAGTTTATATCACTGAAATAGTTCCAGAACAAGTGTCTGCTTTACACAGTGGAGAATCATTTTTATTAATTCCACCCCTTATAATCTCACATATGCTAGAGTTCCTATTTTTAAGACATGTCAGTCCTCTTTGTGCGCACAGAGCTTTAAATGATCTACAGATCCTTGTGCACTATGATCAGGGGATACACATACCACCACTTTTCAGAGATATATCCTGGCAGATCCTTGGTATCTGTCTACAGATAAAGGGGGACAACCAGGCTGCTCTGTATG